CTCAACTACTAATTTGATCAGTTCACCGTAGCTGCCACAATGATTTTATTGGGGAAAAATGTGAAATCATGATTAGCCAGCTAGAAGAGATGTTGTTCAAGCACCGGATAAACTGCAAAGTAACTTGATAAATAATAAGACCTTAACAATCTAGAAATGATCTTCTAAGACTCCATATTGGACATTAACATCACTCCAAACATACTTTTTATGCACTTGGCAACACGTGCGTCGTGTCCTGACCCGAAAGTGGACTTGATTCAACATGAGATTAGCGATATTGGGATTAAGTTACCAACCTTAGCGCATAATAGATGTAAATATTTATGCATTTGAAATTGATATTATATGATTCATGTTTGAGCAACGACTGTAGAAGTTGAAAATCCAGCATTCAAGAGGAGAAATGTTTAACGTATTGAAAAATTAAATGATTAGATAGGAATGTGCATGGCATTTGATTATCCCATTCTTTTTCCTCCCACTGTGCACAATCAAGTGTTAATGTAGCTACCTAGCTATTAATGTCATTAGTCGTCCATTATAAAAGATGACTTTGTTAAGCAGTTTCGCATTTTTTTTGACAAACGTAGCATAAGTTCATCATTTAGTATTAGTATAATAAAAGCCCCACCGCAATCATGCTGGAATTTTACATCTATTTTTCAGTGTCAAGGAAAATTGTGGAAACAAGCGTATTGAAAGCAGCTAGCTTAGCCTTTGTACTTCTTCACTTCCCATCCCTTTTATCACATCAACCTACATGAGAGCCTCTCTCCACGCACCTACTTGCTCATTGATCAACTTCTTCTCACGCTCCAAATTTAGTAAGGCGGCGCGATATGGCGGACTTTTGAGTTTAATGTCGTCACGTTCCACATAAAAGAAAATAGGTAGGATCTCTTTATTAGCTTCCGGTTTCAAGCTGTTTGCAATGATCTACGCAAGCTCCTGAAGACACCATTTACTCGAAGCATAGGTCCGAGAGAAAATAGATATGTAGATCCTAGAGTTATCGATCGCTCATAGAAGGGACTCATCGATTCTGTCACCAACACGGAGCTCTTCGTCGTCTCGGAAGACACATATTCCAGCATCGATCAAGTTATGGAAGAGGACATCAGTAAATCCAGCACGTGTGTCAGGTCCTCTCAAAGTTAGAAACACTTGGTACTCGCTTCCCGGTGACGTTCCTGCGTCTGAACTTGCCATAGCAGTAGGTTTTAGCTTAGTAGATCTCTCTCTCTCTGACCCGATGTACTACTTAACAGAGAATGAGGCAGCGTCAACACATCATGAGAAAATAATGGAGTGGTTATGGGAAAACCAATCGTATGCTATGGGTCCATAGAAAGTGCTTGAAATAGAACGTAGTAATTTTATACGACGAAGAGCATAAAATCAAATGCAATTGATCGATGAGAAAGCAAACTAAAGATGCGGCCCAATAAATGGCCGACGGAACAAAAGTTAGCAAAAGACCAAAATTGCCCAGCTTTCGGCACGGTTGTAGGGTCCACTCATAAAACTTTGTATTCATCATCAATTCCTTGTTAAAAAACACGAAGGAGATAGAGAAACGGAATCTTCCATGTCAGGTGCCACACACTAGCTTGGAAACTACCAGCGTTCGTCTCACGTTCATATTCTATTGTTATGAAAGCTACAAACCGTAAAATGATTTTAAGAGCATTAAGCACACGCCAAACCAATAGATAAAAAGTATTAACTGTTAATTTGACTGCCCAAGAACCTGTTAGTAAGATATCATGAATTGATACCAATCTAGTCTATGTCCTTATCATTTTGGTTTTTCATTTACTGATGATCTCTAAACATGGTATGAACAGAGATGCCTTTAGTTGTCATCGAAACACCATAAAATCAATTGGACCATGGGTTGATACCAAATTACTAACTCTCCTTATCATTTTCATTTTTCATACCATAAGATCTCCTTATCATGTCTGAGTAATGAAATGAAGTAGATTCTGCTATCAACTCGAATCGGATGGTTGAAAGAGAAGAGAGAAATAGCAATGCTTGATCAGGAGTAGCTAATTAGTGTTTTTCATATACTTAAAAGAAATTTAAACAGCTTTCAAGGAAATTGATTTAGATTTATAATTTACATCAAAGCACTTCGAATGTATCCTATAACACCTAGAATTTTGCAAGTCACCAGTTAGTAGTGCCTCAGCTCCTAGGATCTCCCAAATTCTAGGTTCGAGTTATCTACGAGATGCAAAATGATCAAAAACTTAAAAATCAGACTAGAGTTATCACCACTTTGTACGGAAAAACTTAGGTTGGTTAGACACCTAAAATCCCAAGTAAGGTTCAGGGAGTCAAGCTACCTAAGTACACGTGTGAAGGAACTAGTCAAGCAAAACTAGAGATCTTAGGTTCGAGGATTCGATTATGCATAAGACAGATCAGTAGGGAAAAGTGCCAAAAAAGTCCTAAACCTTTTTTTTGGTGCCAATTAAGTCCTAAACCTTTTAAATTGGTGCCAATTCAGTCATAAACCTTTTGTTTTGGTGCCAATTTAGTCCTTCCGGCTAATTTTGACCGGAATTTGCCAACGTGGACGCCGGCCGGCGGCCGGTCACCGGCGCCGATGTGGACAATTTTAATAATATTTTAATATTTTTTTGAATTTTTATTTTTTTCCTTTTTTTCTTTTTTTTTTCCACTTTTTTTTTTGGTCTCTCCCCCTTCCTCTGGCCGGCGAGCTCGACCTCGCCGGCCACTGTCGAGGGCGTCCTCGCCCGGCGAGGGCTCGAGCCTCGCCCAGCGACCTCTCCAGATCCGGCGAGGTCGGGCCTCGCCCGACCATGGCGAGGCTTGCTCTCGCCGCGGCCTCCGGCAAGGCCTCGAGCCTCACCTTGGTCGGGCGAGGCTTGAGCCCTTGCCGGAGGCTGCGGCGAGAGCGAGCCTCGCTCGACCAAGGCGAGGCTCGCCCTCACCGGGCGAGGCCGCCCTCGCCAGTGGCCGGCGAGGTCAAGCTCGCCGACCTCTGGCCTCTGGCCGGTCGCCAGACCGGCGACCGGCCAGAGGAAGGAGGGAAAGACCAAAAAAAAAAAATGGAAAAAAAAGAAAAAAAAAGGAAAAAAAATAAAAATTCAAAAAAATATTAAAATATTATTAAAATTGTCCACGTCGGCGCCGGTGACTGGCCGGCTGGCGTCCATGTCGGCAAATTCCGATCAACATTGGCCGGAAGGACCAAATTGGCACCAATTTAAAAGGTTTAAGACTTAATTGGCACCAAAAAAAGGTTTAGGACTAAATTGACACAAATGCAAAAGGTTTAGGACTGAATTATCACCAAAAAACGGTTTAGGACTAAATTGGCACTAATGCAAAAGATTTAGGATTTTTTTGACACTTTTCCCCAGATCAGTACATCATCTATTCACTACCACAACCCCATTTTTGTTTAAGTCCTAAATCGCCTATCATGTAATTTCCTAAGAATGTCGCTATAACATTTATTTAATGTAATTATCAATTAACAACACTTTGTCTCATGTAGTGCCGTGACTCTATATGCGTGAAAGTGTAAATGAAATGTCAATTTATATGACATTTGAAAGACAAGAAAATGAAATGACATGACAATATTCACACCCAACATGACATGTGCAGGTGACAAGAAAAGTACATGGCCTAGCAATAACATGGCAAATTCAAGATCAAAATGACATGACATAACAATCACATGCAACATGATATAACAAATTCAAATTTGAACATGACAGGATAATTACATGATGTGACAACAATGACATTCAGCTAAGTTCTTATACACATGATGTCCATAACTTCAAACTTGTAACTCACTTATCAGATATAACTGTTTTGTAATTAGTTTTCCTCTTAGCCTCGGAGTTGTAGGTTCCGGCAGACCCTCCTTTCTGCTCTATGTATCACTATTAAGCCTCCTAATAGTTGTCCGTTCATTTCCATTGTGGATAGGTAAGCTGTGATTAAGTTGATCATGCGTTTTTGCATATATCCATTGGAAAGCAGACAATCCTTGTCATTAAAAACAACATCAGAGACCTACAAAGAAAAACAAAACAGTGTGTGTTTTGTGTGTGTGTGTGTGTGTGTGTGTGTGAGAGAGAGAGAGAGAGAGAGAGAGAGAGAGAGAGAGAGAGAGAAGGTGTATATGTAGGACGGCGGGCTAAAGCTTAAAGCCTTGTTGAGACTGGCCTGGATGATGAACATGCGTACTGTTCCTTCTGACAAACTTATGGGCTGAGTTGGCCCCTTGAGCCGCGAAATAGGAAAGACCAAAGAGATTAAGTGGTCCATTTGGTTGGGCTCAAAGCCATTCTAAACAGCCACACCAGGACAATAGGAACAGTTATATAGTTCACACCACATGCACTGGGCTCTTTAGCGACCGTCTTTTGTTTGTTGGATCATGGAATGCGGTCCCTCGTGGAGAAAATTGTTGCCCGTCCATGTCCAAAGTCAATCGGTTCCTTTGGTGAATTCGTGGGAAACATTGTCTTTGTTTCTTTAGGTTAAGTAGTGGGAGAATTCATTAGATTGTCAAATTGCGTAAAAGGGATTTTCTATGGTTTTGAGCATTCAGTTATTTCGATCAATCATTGGATCAAATCTGATCTAATGATAGAACAACCACTTAATGATTACGTGAACGATAGCATACATTCTTTGGGCAGTTTTCATCTATAACCAAGTAGTTATGCTCAACATTTGATCATGTGAACCTCACGTAGTGTTGGAATGATTTAATATACACAAGGAGTATGCAAGTATCACTCATTTCTCTCGATATTGAGTACATGTGAGCAACACATGTTCCTATCATAAGGGAAATATAAATTTTGTTACAAGAAAGCAAGGGTCATTAGAACTATAAGCAAATATATCATCACATAGTACAGGGATTGAGATAGTCAAAAGGAGGAGAGATTTTAGGTGAGTATGGACTTGTACTAAAATAAGTTCGAACCGTAAAATCCTATGAAACCCACCATATTCAATGGTCAAGATACATTTTATTGTGCGCACCAGACAGACAAGATAATTTCACCAAAGCAATGCTAAGTCGAAAGAAATCAAGCATGAGATGCTACAAACACCATTCCAACATAATACCACTTACATCATCTCCATTGCAAAAAAAAAAAAAAGTAGCATTTCATGCGCCGACTGCGCCATGTTACCTTCGGACTCATGGCCTGCATCAATAACCCCTATTCAAGTCGTCCTTTTTGACAATCCGTCGAAACATATCAACCCCAAGTCGCTACGGCCCTCGCCGTCCAATGTCGGTCGGTGCCGCGGTGGGCTGGGGTTATTTAGTTCCTCCTTGGCCAAAAACAAAAAATTTGTAGACCTCTCTCCCTTATGAAAGATCTATTCCTCCTATTATTGACTTAGTTGGACCTTATTCCAGTATCTATGGTCATCAAATTTTCGTTGTACCATGTACAAACCTTAGCCACAGGCTAACATCTCCTATCTACCACAAATTGATCAGATGAGAAAACCCAACCTCACCTCACCCACATGCATTGCGACACTCGTCGCGCGACCACGTGGACCTCGCGTCGTGGGACCCACTCCCGATCTTCGTCAGGACGTCCCAGAGCCGTCGGATCTCCCCGAACACGTCGTCCGTCGGGAGCTCGAACCGGCAGCAGGGACACGTGTTCGTCTTCCTCACCCACGGCAGTATGCACATCCAGTGGAACGAGTGCCGGCACGGCAGCTCGCACACGTCCCGGCCCCCCTCCATCTCCTCCCTGCACACCGCGCACTCCCCTCCCCCCGCCGCCTCCACCGACGGCAGCGCCACCACCGCCGCCGGCGACGCCGCCACCCGCCGCCTCCCCTCCCCGGCGTCCAGGCAGCGCTCGACCGCTTCCACGAAGTTTCGGCACCGGACCACCATCTCCACGTAGGGGGCTAGGATCCCGCCGCTGAAGGCGCCGATCCCGGCGATCGAGAGGAGGTCCTTGGAGCAGTGCTGCCGGAGGACGGACCGCCATTCGGAGGGGGCGGCGTCCTCGAGGGCGCGGGGGTCGCGGTGGCGGAGCTCGCAGAGGAGGAGGAGCAGGGTCGCCGCGTCGCGGTCGCGGCGGCGCTCGGGCGGCGCGTGGGAGGGGAGACCGGGGAGGAGGGGGAGGTGGCGGGAGAGGAGGCGGAGGGAGGAGAGGAGGTGGCGGGCGATGAGGAGGGACTTGAGGGGGAGCGGGAGGGAGAGGAGGTGGCGGAGGGCGAGGGAGAAGAGGGAAGGGGAGGAGAGGAGGGCGGAGACGCGGCGGTGGTGGTGGTGGAGGTCGGCGAGGACGGAGTCGGTGAGGGCGGAGAGCTGGGGCGGAGAGAGGGTGGCGAGGGCGGCCATGACGGCGGAGGAGGGCGTGGCTTGACGATCTTCGTCGGCTGCGGCTTCCATCGTCAAGTGTATCGGATCGTGCGCTTTTGCTGCGGTGGTAAGCGTGGACTGGGAAGAAGGATTGAGAATGTGGGTAAGACTAAGAGAGAGTGAAATGTATGTCCCCTTTTATATATTTTTGGTTGTATGTGATTTGTTTGTACGACTATTTTGTCCCAAACATACTCCTTTGCATTAAAAGATTATATTATTTCAGAGAAATATTGACACACTGTCTTGTGGGATTGGTAGAAGATTAGATAATAGTAGAAAAATTGTACTTTTATATGAAGATTAAGACATGAGTAACCAAATTTCCCTTAAAAAGAACTGGATCTTTTAATTATAGGGAGTTACTCCAGTGACCACCATTTTTCACTTGGGAAGGTAAAGGTGGGTATTTCAATTCCTCACCTTCTCCGGGAGAGAGCTTGGAGTGTAGGAATGTGTGAAGAGAGAGTAGGGTTTCGATACTTGCGCATAACACTACATACAAGGGCTTGTAAAAGGGAAATAGAATAGCATCAAACCCAAAAAAAAATCGGGTCAATTTGAGACCTCTCGAAGTATTTTTGTAGGAAAAATTTGCACGAGTATAACAAAGATCTATGATCATATACTTCAGGTGGATATAAGTTTTTCCGACTAGATATGATATGGTATTTGATCTTGTAGATTTTAAAAGTTATGGACAAAATTTCGATATTATTTAAGCGACTGTAAAGAAAATAAATTAAAAAGATTTTTCATGGCATGTTATCAATAGATGCTTGGCATGAAGCAAAATAACTTTTTTGGGATAAAAAGTAGATGAAACCGAGCATGACCATTATTTCGAACTTGAAACCCTAATCCCTTTTGCAAGTTCAATTAAGTTGAAAAGCTCAAGGAGGAGGAGGTTTCTAGCTAATAGCATTTTGGTGGTGTGATAACGGGTTTCACAAGTTCGGATCTTTAGGTCACATGTGGTGCGGAATATAAATAATAGAAACCTAACATTTTGTTGCAGTAGAAACCTTGATAATGTTCGTATGGGGTTGTTAGATCTGGTCACCCCTCCTCACCGTTTCAATTGTAAAAAATAAAAATCGAAAAAGTCAAGATCATTGATATCATCTAAAACTAAATTTTCTTTTAAGATACTATATGAGGATGAGAATTAAAACATTTATAAGAGAGGTTATTTTGTAGCTGGACGACAGCACTAACACTACTCTCCGGAGAGTGAGGAGAAATAGACTACGTGGGTCTTTTGTGGTTTTTCCCCCCAATTTGGTTGAGAGTTTGTTTGTTTTAATTGTTCATTTTTGTGTTAAATTCACACATGGGTAACAAGAAAAACTCATAAAAAGGTTGACAAGTGTTCGGACAGCAGCGTTGATGCTTCTACTGGCTGCAGTATAAGCTCTCCGAACTTTTATTAGTGGATGGGGTGGAGTGGGCAAGTAACATTGGCAACCTCTCGAGCGTTATCGTAAGAGTTATAAAAACACGGTTGGAATGTTTGACTTATGCCATAACTACTGCTCATCTTGAGCAAAGTCTGCTACCGTCGTACCGTCAGATGCTAAACTCGGGGCAAAAGGACACTATAAGTGTTATAACTTGTGTACGGCGCTCACTTTGGTGCCATAACTTTTTTTCGGATCACTTTGGTGCCAAGTCGGAGGAAAAACGATCACTTAAGTGTCGTAACTTTTTTTTGGATCACTTCAGTGCTAAAATTTTTGAAAAACGATCACTTAAGTGCTAAAATTTTTGAAAAACGATCACTTAAGTGCCAATCTCCGGCGAGACTCCGGCGAGCCACGTCAGCTTCAGAAATTAATAAAAAAAATGCCACGTCATATTTCCGGCGAAAAATTATGTACGGCACCGGAGTTGGCACTAAAGTGATCGTTTTTCAAAATTTTTAGCACTAAAGTGATCCAAAAAAAAGTTATGGCACTAAAGTGAGCGCCGTACACAAGTTATGGCACTTGTAGTGTTCTTTTGCCCTAAACTCGGAGTAATCCCTACAACTGATAAGTTGAACCTATGTTATGGATGAACTTTGTTAATCCAAATATGATGATTATATTTACTAGGCATAATGACTACTTACTAATTAGATTAAGCTAATATAAGATCAGACCATCACTGTGGTTGGCATAGTGCTATAGGGCTTATTCCAAGTTGCACGGGGCTTAGTGAAGTAACCATAACTTTGGAGAAAATTATCAAATTAGTCATAAACCTATTGTATGAATGTCAACTCATTTATAAAAAAAAATTTCATTTTTGCCAATTGAGTCATAAATCTTTGCGTGAAATTCCAATATAGTACTTCTGACCAATTTTTATTGGAAATTGCTAACGTGACGGTGTGCCACGTAAGACGGCCGGTGATGACTGGATAGGCACGTCAGCGATTCCCGATAGAAATTGATCAGAAGGACAACATTGGAATTTCGCACAAAAAATTTATGGCTCAATTAGCAAAATTGGAAAGTTTAAGATCAAATTGACATCCGTACAATAGGTTTTTGACCGATAAAGCAATTTTCCCCCTAACTTTGATTTTTTCTAAGCTCAAACTATCAAGACGAAGTCTCTATCGGGGCATTCAATATTCTGTCACCTCTCCACTTCATCACTTCATTCATTTCCTTTTTTCATGGTTGTCATAGTGGTCCTCATCCGTAACAGGTCCAATATTTTTTTTTAATGCAGAAGCCTACCTTAAATCATTCAACTTCATTACTTTAACTAGTCTCAGACCATGAGATGGAAACATTGCATAAAACCAATATGGATACAAACCCTGGCTCTTGAATCCATCTAAACCGTTACATTTAATGAGCCTATAACTCCTATGATAGAATTAGGTCATCTATATACCGGTGTACACTCCCAAATTCATGCACTTGCATATGCACAGATTTTTTGTGGGGGAGGGAGGGTTGTGTTACGAATAGGTGATATTTCAATTCGAATTTTGCAAATTAGATTAAGTTCACCTATCAAACTTTTATTAGAAGCGATCCCTTTTGATTGGTATCTTCATCGAAATTTCTATTTTCCCATTCATTGGGTGAGATCCACCCTCAATACATATACATCTTCAATGAACCAAAATGATGAGATGAACTATATAGCTCGGATCAAGAAGTTTATCATTTGGTATGGGGATAAGTGCATTGAAAGTCCTAAAACTTGTCATAAAAGTGCAATCGAGTTCTACAAAAAGTATAATCAAGTCCTAAAACTTGTCATGAAAGTGCAATAGAGTTCTACAACTTTCAAAAAGTGCAATCGAGTCCTAAAACTCGTCATGAAAGTGCAATCGAGTCCTAAAACTTGTCATGAAAGTACAATAGAGTCCTACAACTTTCAAAAAGTGCAATCGAGTCCTAAAACTCGTCATGAAAGTGCAATCGAGTCCTAAAACTTGTCATGAAAGTGCAATAGAGTCCTACAACTTTCAAAAAGTGCAATCAAGTCCTAAAACTCGTTATGAAAGTGCAATTGAGTCCTAAAACTCGTCATAAAAGTGCAATAGAGTCCTACAACTTTCAAAAATTGCAATCAGGTCCTAAAATTTGTCATGAAAGTGCAATCGAGTCTGAAAACTTTCAAAAAGTGTAATTAACGGAAGGACTTGATTAGGTCAATTTAACAAGTTTTCGGACAAGTAGAACTTTTTTAGAGTTTTATGACTCAATTGCACTTTCATGATAAGTTTTAGGACTTGATTACACTTTTTAAAAGTTTGAGAACTCGATTACACTTTTAATAGACTTCCAATAGACTTATTTCTTTGGTATTATTTATGCACATCGGTACAATTACTAATGGAGAAAGCAAAAGTGCACTATCTTCCATGCAGAAAATCCCACGGCATCTCTGGCCATATGTAAAAGCTTTCGAGAAAAGGAGGTGGGATTATGGAGTAGAATATGATATTTGATGTCATAGTTTTTTTTTTGTCCCAAAGCATGTGTCCAATTCAAGCAAATTTTCTTCTTTTCTTTAATGACTCCGGCACTTTTCCTTTTTGCTTTTTCACCGTAACCTAAATACACCGTCAGGACCTGACTACTTGAAAACTCACGAGAAATCCTACAAACTTTATTAATTAGTTAAGTCCAGATCTACCTCTAGCTCCAAAACTGAAAATCCCTCGACGCATCAACCAACTTCGCCAACCTCGAAAAATTGACTCGTGTACTTTTTTTCATTACTATGCATAAAGGTATTTCCATGATGAGAAAGATGAATGGGAACAAGAAGAAAAAGAAGAGAAGAGAATAGACAAGAGTTTCTTTTCTCATCCGTGGCTTCTTCTTCTTTGTCCCCTAACATAACAACCGCAATAATGCAAGGTTTGGTTGGACTTGGCGATTCCACTACTCTTTCACATGTCATGGCCTTGTTATCATCACCTTCTTCGCGGTCACATGCTCCCTACTGTCTCTTGTTTCAAGCTTTTTTTAGTCTTCCAACCTGCATTGGATCCACAAAATCACCACTTTCTAGAACCCAACATTCTTATCTTTCCTCACCAAAGGACATTCAAAGATAGCGCTTTTGCTCCCAAATCAAAGCTCAAATCCTCATCTTCTTTTTGTTGAAGCCGTATTCGGAAATTGCATCTTAGAAATCGTTACCGGAAGTATGAACAACGTTACAAGATTGCCACAGAATTGACATATTGAATGACGACTATTATCACGAATGTGTCTCTTGTGCAGTGCATCAAACTTCCTAGTTGCTAGTTTCTAACTTTGTGGCTCCAAGTTCTAAGGAATTTATTTCACCAAATGTCACTTGTGCATTGAATCTATCCTTGATAGAAGATTTTTTTTATAACTAAATTGGGATAATTACAAGACAAGTAGCAACACTTGACAATTTGCGCACTTAAATCTTAAAACTTTTGCTTCATTAATTTAACTAATAAAAAATTTGCAACTTCACATGCACTTTAAGTCATTTCATCCATTGATGAGAGTACTCAATCGGACCAAGAGTTACAAGTTTTACAACTTAAATGCATGAAATTGACAAATTTTAGGGCTTACCTAATAACTATATCCTATTAAATTTGATGCCGACGGCCTTGGGATATCACATGT